CAGCACCCGTATCAAAAGTGATAGTTTTGAATTCTCCATTAATTTGTCCTTCGAATTTTAATTCTCTATAATGACTGCCCAATGATTTTATGTAAACAGCCCTGGGGGCTTCGTCAGTACTAACCAGCATTCGTCCCTCCATACTGGTAAGTTCCCGTTTCCCTGTCTGTTATTAGGGCAAGCGTCTCTAGATCTCGAAAAGCCTTGGAATCGATCTCTAGATGGAGAAGACATCTGACATTCTACCCGGTTTCCAGGGGCGGACATATCACTGGGCAGTTCGGTGCGCCGTCCTAGGGTCCACGGTCCAAAAGGGCTCACGATACTGTGGAAAATTTCGAATATATAAAGAAATGCCATATATGCAATTCGAATATGATAAAATTGTAATTAAGCTACATTCAATAAGGTCTTAATTCCTTTTTTCCAAAATATCATCGATCATACTAGTAATGGGAGTACTCGAGTACAGGAATCGGGTATTATCTGCTTCCTAAAGGAATCTGGTGAGCGGCGGAAGCAATTCCGATTCTTTTAATATAAATAATTAAATATACTGCTGGAAAGTGCGAATCGACCGACACTGTTACTGTCACTTACTGGACTGGATTCCAGAATTGAGAGTTATTTCAAAAACATTATCTTTTCTATACCGCGATTTTTTGCGAAAAAAGTACATGACATATGCCTACTTAAAAACTTTACTCTTTCAAACTGAAAACAACACAAATGGCGAAGTACCTACTCAGTACTTGGTATTTAATATATCAATTCAATATATCCCTTGCTTTCCAAATAGAATCTACGGGAATTATCCCGAAATTCCTCAAAATTCTTTTTCTGAATTACGATTAATGTATCGAATACGTCGGCGAAGTCAGAAATTTGATATCTCTCTTGATTTCGAAATAGAAATTACTTGAAAATTCACTATCACTGTCAAAATAGGGTATAGAGTAGAGGGGGGCAGGTTCGGACATGGGGCACCTCCGGACATTTTGAATTTAACGCCTTCCAAAACTAAACGTGTTTCTGCTCTAGAACGCCAGACAAAATTTTATGCCGCTATCTTGAGAAATTTGGGAGTGATCACCAAAAATACATAAATAGTGACCCCAACTAAGTATTATGTCCTCTACTCTTAAGGTTTTGCACGATTTGGTGATGTAATTTTTAGGTTTTAAAGGGGTATACTGACAAAGTATGATAGTTTCACACCACATAACCTATATTTCAAGAATCGACAAAACATGATTTTCATTTTTTTAGTTTTTTTTTACATTTCGTACATGTGGGGCACATACGGACAGTACAGGGTGGGGCACATTCGGACTATCATCTTTTCATGCTGGGAATACTCGCATGGCTAAATTTTCAAAATTCAACGAAAATTTTAATTCTTTTCATTTAAAATAAATTCTTTTATACTTTAATTATGGAAATATGTTTAATTTACGTTTTGATGTCATTATTTATTTTTGTTATTTTTATATTATTTATTTTTGTTGGCTAGTTCCAAAGTTCCTAGGTTCGTATGTTTGGAGTTCCTTTAGACTATAAATTTTGATGTTTAGATAGATGCTAAATTATTTAAAATATACCTATCAAAAAGTTAACTGTTTATAAAGTATATGTCCGGAGTTACCCCATATGTGTCCAAAACTGCCCCACCGTCGGGCACCTTCGGACAAATGACAATTTTTTTTTAATTTTAATTTTCATAAAAAACGGTGCAAGTTTTTTCTGAAATTTCTATGGTATTGGTTTAAAAACATATGAAGCAATATATTCGTATTTTTAGAACATTTAGTTTATCTAAAATAAAAGTTCGGTATCACCTTAACCAAATCTGTCCGAACCTGCCCCACTCTACCTTACAGTCACTTTCGGGGTAACTTACACGATCGGTTAAGTCTCTTTCGGTTATTGTCACTGCTTACACACAGCGTATTGTTCTTTCAATCATAAAGAGTCTTTCAAGTTTTCCGTAAATTCTTTGAAGTCTTAAGATATTTTCGAATCTTCAAAGTTCCAGTTTTTAGCCTCTTTACAATCTATAGTCCAGTAACTTTTATTTGTTCTTGGGGTTTGTAAATGTGTGTCAAGTGTCAAAAATTTTAAGATTTACACTCCTAGGAATCTTTAAAGTCTATTATTTAGCGCACTGTTTTTAGCAACACAAGTCTTTCAATTTTCCCCTTGAAGTCTTAAAGATTTTGGAATCTGCAAAGTTCCAGTTTTCAGCCTCTTTTAAATCTCTAGTATTGTAATTTTTATCTGTTCCTGGGGGTTTGTTAATAATGTGTGTCGAAAATCTTTCAAGTCTAAGTTTTAAACTGCTTGGAATCTTTAAAGTCTTTAATATTCAGCGTATTGTTTCTAGCAGTACACTCCTTTTAATCATCAAGAGTCTTCCAAGTTTTTCCTAAATTCATTGAAGTCTTAAAGATTTTGGAATCTGCAAAGTTCCAGTTTTCAGCCTCATTAAACTCTTTAGTCTTGTAATTTTTATCTGTTCCTGGGAGTTTGTAAATAATGTGTGTCAAAAATCTTTCAAGTCTAATTTAAACTACTTGGAATTTTTAAAGTCTTCAGTATTCAGTGTATTGTTTCTATAGCAGTACATTTCTTTTAATCATCAAGAGTCTTTCAAGTTTTTCCTAAATTCATAGAGATTTTGGAATCTTCAATGTTCCAGTTTTCAGCCGATAATCTTGGTTCTGATCATATTTAAAAGTGTTCGGTTCATACGTTCTGCTTTACCATTCATCTGCCGAGTATAGGACATAATATATTATAGATGAATGCCCTTACTTTTGAAATTGCGTGTTATGAATTCATCACTAAGTATTGTCTGAACGAAATCTTTTAACTTTAACACCAAATTGTCTCTCAGTTTCATAAATTTAATCAATTAGATTTTGTTTAGATCCACTGTTGTTTTTACAATAAGGAAATCTGAAAAATCATCTAATAATCTGATAAGTCATGATATTATTTTCCTCCGTGTGTATAAGACGTTATTGGGCTACCATAGGTCACTGTGCACAAGTTCTCCTATTTGTGTAGCCCGTTTTTCATTCTGTTGAAATGTTGTCCTCGTAGCTTTTCCTTCCATATAAGTAGGACAAATTTTTTTGGAAAATTCTAATCCAACTTGCCTCAAAGCTATTCTTTTCCAGCATGTCCCAACCTTTGATGCCATGTTTCAGCATCTACACTAACTTGACAATTTTGATTTATCACATTGTCAACATACAGTATATAGAGTCCACTTTATAACATTTAAGAGAAAAATTGTGTTTTGTTTTGTTACTATTATCTTGTGTCCTTTTCAGCTATTTCTGAAGCTGAAATGAGATTATGTTTCAAATTTGAAACAATCAAGGCTTCAATGACACTTAGCACTTAATATTCCTAGCCTATCCGACTTTAAAATTTTCTCATTTGTTATGTGAATAGGTAAATATTGTAATTGTTTAATGTCTTGACATTAAATTTGTCATGTAAGGTTCCAGATTTTCTTTCACAAAGTGATCACTAGCTCCTGAGACCAATATATGTAAAGCTAGTAGAGACAATATTCACATCTGTGTTACAGAAATTAGCAGCGAAAAGAAAACCTTGTTGATCAGCTTTATTGGCTTTTCATTTCAGATTTTTTCAAGGATTTCAGAATCTTCCAGAAGTTTTTCGTTTTCATCAGAGTCTTCGTAGACTGTTCGAGATATTAACTTTTCAGTGTTGTGTCACTGAAAAATTTAGATAAATTCTTTAGAAGATCATAAGTCTCAAGTCTTTAGAATCAGTGATATAAATCAGTCTTCAGCATTTCAAATTGGAGAATTTTATGCTTAGCCTCAGAAGTCTTAAAGGCCTAAAAGTTTACAGTTTTCGAGATCTAACTGAAACTGATATTCAAATGGAGAAGTCATATCCAAAGAATTAATTAATTTTGTCTTTCGTCAAAAAAGCTCCTGACTTTCCCTTCATAATCAGTTTACATGGTGAATATTGACTAACTGTTTACCCGGCTTTATAAAGAAAACCTCATTGTATAGTTTCTGAAGATTTAAAGTCGTTCTGAAGCCTGGAACATTTTCGAATAAATTATCATGTTTCCAGGTTCCAAAAGAATGTGAGCTTAGTTTGAGAAAGAGCATCTGAAGAATATATTGACTACTGATTAAAGTACTCCATAAAAGAAGCTTTAATTTATAATTTTTCGAATTCGTTCTTATGCCTGGAACATCTTCCAAAATCTCTCAAAAGTCCAGTTTATAACTAAAATGTGGGAATAGTTCAAAAAATTCCACCTTTCTGAAATACATACAGGGTGTCCCCGTTCAACTGGTCAAAAATGCTAGGGTATATAGAGGAACCATCGAGAAGTAGTTTGAGATAGGACATCGATGGTCAGTGGTGTACCATTTTTTCTTCAAAAAATTTAACACACATATGCTGCAAATCCGTCCCTGGACAAATCAAATCAAATGCAATTCCTTAAAAAGTTGCATCATCACCTATAATTTAAATCCTGAAAATTTCATTAAAATCGCTAAAAGCGTCTTTAATACAAAGGAAAAAATTCGATTTTTTTTGTAAAATTTCAACACCCTGTATTTTGGAAACGATACATTTCCGACCATCGGTGTCCTATGTCGAACTACTTCTCCATGGTTCCTCCATATAAATACCCTTTTGATCAGTTGAACGAAGACACCCTGTATGTATTCCTATTTTGAATTACAATTTTCATTTTCTAAAATTCAATTTGCATTTCTCAAATATATTTTCCGCTTTCTGAACTACAATTGACAAGAGCTATCTCTGTTATTTCATAATGATGTTGCCAGATTGTGCACATTAATTTTTCCAACTTAAATTTGACAACGTCATAATTCAATGTTGGATGAAATCGCGAAAACGCAAAAACTGACTATATAAAATCCCGGTTACCAAATCATTTATTAATTAGATTTTATATAAGTCAATACCAGTTTGACTACCCTTGGTGGGTTGTGTGGCAGGACGATCTTCACCAGCTACCAGCTCGAGGAACTGGAGAAGGCGTTCAAGGACGCCCACTATCCGGACGTTTATGCCAGAGAGATGCTTAGCCTTAAAACCGACTTACCCGAAGATAGGATACAGGTAAGAATTGTTATTTTATATACGATTATGTAGGTAGTTTTATAAAGAATTTTCCTTGTGGGTACAACTAAATGTTATTTGAAGTGTATAAAAATAACCAGGTATTTATTTAAGAAGCGGGATATAGACATCAATGAAACATAAATGTTTCTATAGGGAAAAGTCAAATTGTGAATATTACAAAAAAACTGGCAACAATTACAATCAGGAGCCGATAAAAATATACATTACCTATTCATGTCATAGGTAGGTACCCTTTGTTTCATGAGGGTGTATACTTTTGACATAATTTGCTTTCCTTTTTTAACAAATAGAAATTGACTGAAACAAATCAATGCCTTCTGCCATCTATAAAACGATTTGAGTACTCAATAATGTCAACCGTATACGTCATCTGTCAAGAAGTACCTGTTTTGAACAAGTACACATGAAAAGTCGTTTATAATGATGAAATTGAAAGACACTTTAACTGAAAGTCTCTGAACTTCAAACGTAACCAATTCACCAATAATAAAATAATTATTTAATGCATCCGCGGCATAATGGAACGACGCAAATTGTTACTTTTTCCAATTTTCCCCTTTAATAACCCGTAATGGGTCTCGGATGGGCGCGTTTTCATCATCGTTCACTCAAATTTCCCTGCTTTTCCATTATCCCGTTGCAACAAAATAATTGCAGTGGGTTTTTTTTTTCTGAGAAACTTCAATTATTATTCTCGTCTCGACAATAACTACTACTATCCATCATCGTCCATGATGGCAGGAAGATTTTTGTTTTTGACGAGAGATCTTCTCTCCCTTCAGGCCTGGTCCAATCAACGACGATTGCTAATTAAACGAAAGGGAGGACAATTAAAAAATATTCTGGGCAGAAGGGCACTTCAGTCTCGCTCTCTCTCTCTCTGTTGAGTGGTTGAATGAATGGGAGAAACGGGCGAATGTCGGGCTCTTATTGGCCCGTCGACGTGAACGCCTACCCATGGTTACTGTGGGTTTAGGAGAGAGTGTGTATTAAAAGAAAGATTTATGCCATTCATTTTTAATAGAATTCTAGTTACAAATTAATAGTCGTATTATTAACAGTAGAGGTACTAGAATACAAACTAATTTGGGAAAAATTTGAGTTGCTGTTAGTTTTTAATAAAAAAAATAAATTTAGCAGCATTTTAAACACCACAAAAAACCCGCCAAATGTGACGTCATTTGTTGCAACTAGCAATAACATACTGCAAATCAGTACGTTGTCAGATTGTTGTTGCATTGTTGATTTTCAAGATTACCTTTGCAAACCTGGTTTTTATCCCTGCTTATAATTATAATGTTTTTTTTGTTGTATTTTTTGGACTACATTTATAAAATTAATGTAATTTTTTAATTGTTAGTTGTACAACAACAGTTTTTGTAGTGTTGAGAAAGGATTTATGATTCATGCTCTGACATCATTTAAATTTAATAAACCACAAAAGTCAGTTTGGCAACGCCGCATTGTCTAATGTCTACTGAAAAATATCATATACCTATAACGTCAAATGGACAATTGTCACTCTTCAGAGCTTAGACAAGAAAAGCATCAAATATGTCCGTCAGAGCCACAGATTAACAACTAAAAACGACAGATAGGTACAACAGTACCTAAACAAATAATTTGCGATCCAACATTCATAAGGTCGATTTTTGCATGGAATGCCTGGTTGCCAATAATTTGATGTGAGTTTCAAAATTGAATGTCTTCACAGATAATTATTATTTGAAAATATGTTTTAACATAATTTAAATGCTTTTTTTATATCAATCTTTATTGAAACATAACTTAAATGCCTTTTTGAATAGGATAGTTAGTTTTTTTTTCAAATTTAAATTGGTGAAAATTCTAGAATAACACAAGAATATATTGCTCGAAAAATGGCACATCGACAACGTTGCATGTACGAGCAGCCAATCAGATGATCTCATATCCATAACGGATTTGGCAGTGTTGCTGTGAAGTGATCAAGTGTGATTTTGAGAGTAATCAGTGGTACCTAAATTGCCTTCTGAAAATGATGTTAGGGTTGTTTCCCACTAATTTTGACCTGCTCTGTCGATTGGTAAAGTCAAAGTTAAGAAAAACACAAAAATTAAAAAATTGAGTTTTTGACTGACTTCTTAAGGCTACCCCTTTGAATTCTAATTTGAAAATCTTCAAACCTTGATATTTCGGTATCTGTTTGGAATATCGGAACAAAATTTCCAAGGATTGTGGCCTCTATTAGGCTCTAAAAATCCTGTATCTAAAAATAATCCTGCATTTATAATTATTGAGAAAATCGAGTATACAATTTTTGACAAAATTTTGAATAAAAGTCAACTTTGAGGGTCAATTGCTCGGAAAGTATTTGAGGTATCAAAACGAATTCAGCACAGATTTATAGAGAATTTAATGCGCTTTTCAATGATTTATAGCTTGTCTCAATTGCTCAGATCTTGACGGAAATATTGGCCATTATTCATACCCATGTCAAAATTTTGTAAATTTTCCAGTGACAAAAAGCAAGATTTTCTTTTATATTTGTTTTCATATTAAAATTGCCTTCTGGAAATGATGTTAGGGATGTTTCCCACTAATTTTGACCTGCTCTGTCGATTGGTAAAGTCAAAGTTAAGAAAAACTCAAAAATTAAAAAATTGAGTTTTTGACTGACTTCTTAAGGCTACCCCTTTGAATTCTAATTTGAAAATCTTCAAACCTTGATATTTCGGTATCTGTTTGAAATATCGGAACAAAATTTTCAAGGATTGTGGCCTCTATTAGGCTCTAAAAATCCTGTATCTAAAAATAATCCTGCATTTATAATTATTGAGAAAATCGAGTATACAATTTTTGACAAAATTTTGAATAAAAGTCAACTTTGAGGGTCAATTGCTCGGAAAGTATTTGAGGTATCGCAACGAATTTAGCACTGATCTATAGAGAATTTAATGAGCTTTCCAATGATTTATAGTTTGTCTCAATTGCTCAGATCTTGACGGAAATATTGGCCATTATTCATACCCATGTCAAAATTTTGATAATTTTCCAATGACAAAAAGCAAGATTTTCTTTTATATTTCTTTTCATATTAAAATTGCCTTCTGGAAATGATGTTAGGGATGTTTCCCACTAATTTTGACCTGCTCTATCGATTGGTATAGTCAAAATTGAGAAAAACTCAAAAATTAAAAAATTGAGTTTTTGACTGATTTCTTAAGGCTACCCCCTTTGAATTCTAATTCGAAAATCTTCAAACCTTGATATTTCGGTATCTGTTTGGAATATCGGAACAAAATTTTCAAGGATTGTGGCCTCTATTAGGCTCTAAAAATCCTGTATCTAAAAATAATCCTGCATTTATAATTATTGAGAAAATCGAGTATACAATTTTTGACAAAATTTTGAATAAAAGTTAAATTTGAGGGTCAATTGCTCGGAAAGTATTTGAGGTATCGCAACGAAATTAGCACTGATTTATGGAGAATTTAATGCGCTTTCCAATGATATATAGTTTATCTCAATCGCTCAGATTTCGACGGAAATATTGTCCATTATTCATAACCGTGTCAAAATTTTGTAAATTTTCCAGTGACAAAAAGCAAGATTTTCTTTTATATTTGTTTTCATATTAAAATTGCCTTCTGGAAATGATTTTAGGGTTGTTTCCCACTACTTTCGACCTGCTCTATCGATTGGTATAATCAAAATTGAGAAAAACTCAAAAATTCAAAAATTGAGTTTTTGACTGATTTTTTAAGGCTACCCCCTTTGAATTCTAATTCGAAAATCTTCAAACCTTGATATTTCGGTATCTGTTTGGAATATTGGAACAAAATTTTCAAGGATTGTGGCCTCTTCTAGGCTCTAAAAATCCTGTATCTAAAAATAATCCTGCATTTATAGTTATTGAGAAAATTGAGTATGCAATTTTTGACAAAATTTTGAATAAAAATCAACTTTGCGGGTCAATTGCTCGGAAAGTATTTGAGGTATCAAAACGAATTCAGCACAGATTTATAGAGAATTTAATGCGCTTTTCAGTGATGTATAGTTTATCTCAACTGCTCAGATTTCAACGGAAATATTGACCATTATTCATAACCGTGTCAAAATTTTGAAAATTTTCTAGTAACAAAAAGCAAGATTTCCTTTTATATTTGTTTTCATATTAAAATTGCCTTCTGGAAATGATGTTAGGGTTGTTTCCCACTACTTTCGACCTGCTCTATCGATTGGTATAGTCAAAATTGAGAAAAACTCAAAAATTAAAAAATTGAGTTTTTGACTGATTTCTTAAGGCTACCCCCTTTGAATTCTAATTTGAAAATCTTCAAACCTTGATATTTCGGTATCTGTTTGGAATATCGGAACAAAATTTTCAAGGATTGTGGCCTCTATTAGGCTCTAAAAATCCTGTATCTAAAAATAATCCTGCATTTATAATTATTGAGAAAATCGAGTATACAATTTTTGACAAAATTTTGAATAAAAGTTAAATTTGAGGGTCAATTGCTCGGAAAGTATTTGAGGTATCGCAACGAAATTAGCACTGATTTATGGAGAATTTAATGCGCTTTCCAATGATATATAGTTTATCTCAATCGCTCAGATTTCGACGGAAATATTGTCCATTATTCATAACCGTGTCAAAATTTTGTAAATTTTCCAGTGACAAAAAGCAAGATTTTCTTTTATATTTGTTTTCATATTAAAATTGCCTTCTGGAAATGATGTTAGGGATGTTTCCCACTACTTTCGACCTGCTCTATCGATTGGTATAGTCAAAATTGAGAAAAACTCAAAAATTAGAAAATTGAGTTTTTGACTGATTTCTTAAGGCCCCTTTGAATTCTAATTTGAAAATCTTCAAACCTTGATATTTCGGTATCTGTTTGAAATATCGGAACAAAATTTTCAAGGATTGTGGCCTCTATTAGGCTCTAAAAATCCTGTATCTAAAAATAATCCTGCATTTATAGTTATTGAGA